AGTAAACCCGAAAACACTGAAGACATGTATCTTTCTTTCTAGGAACCCAATGCAACTCGACATGTATTTTCAGAAAGATACATGTAGTGGGTTTGGACATTCCTATACAATTGAACACATTTGAATACGATTTGTTTTATGTATAGAAAGATGTCGGTTGATGGACTCGGTTGACATGTGTATTTTAAACCGATATTGTGCACAAATTTTAATATATTTTTATAGGCATTTCTTGAGTCCTGGGAAAATTCATGCACTTTTCAATCAGGAATGTATAGTATGCACAACTCGAAATGTGTGATATGCACTAATTAGTAGTGCATAAATGTATCTTTTTATGTTTGATTTGTGTGGATTGTTTACCATTTTATTTAGTTTGTAAACATTTGTGTGATTTAGTTGTAATTGTATTTTAGTTCTCATTTGTAAGTTGTAAAGTAGAGTTAGGATTTAAGGTGTTGGAAAGGAAGACTTTGAAGTGAAGAAAAATGATTATTGGCTGCCCAGGACAATCACCCGGTCGGGTGAGGTATTGCACCCGGTCGGGTGAGACATTGAAATGCGAAACTGCTCAGGAAATTACATCACCCGGTCGGGTGAGGTATTTCAAATCGGATCGGATCCGAAAACAAAGGAACATGCAGGGAAGATTTTACCACGATCGAGTGTCTATACCCGATCGGGTACACCGACATACTCGATCGGGTATAGCTACGAATTCTACTCGAATATCGATCGAGTATGGACCGAATTCGAGTTTCTACACATACTCGATCGAGTATATGTATATACTTGATCGAGTACCCGACCTGCACCTCAAAAAAGCCTATAAATACACCTCCTTTCCTTCACTTTTAGATACCAATTCATTTATACTCTTAAGCTCAGTTTAGAATAGCATTTCTCTATATTTCTTTTAGCATGTTTAGTCTCCAAATGAGGAGCTAAACTTCCATTTCTTGGTTTTGCTCTTGAAACTTGTTGATTATTAAAGTTGTGAGTTATTTTCTTACTTTCTCCTCTTGATTATTAATTCTTCCCTTAATCTCATTCTATATTAATGTTGGAGGGTGGCTAAGTGACGATTAGTTAACGTTCCGACATTGATTAATACTAGAAACGATCAACGAACCGATGGTTAAACGTTGATGGTTTCACAAGTAAGTAACTTCGGTCTATTAATGCACGGTCGTGGTTAATAAACTTAAGAGGGATCAATTTTGTTGGAATCACATTGACAAATGAGAAGGAAATTCAAAAGGAAGAGGTAGAAGACGAAAGAGACATGGAGCTCCAGCTGGTCAAGGAAGAGGATGAACCGAGTTTCCAGGTCAAATATCTATCCTTATCATTCTTTGAGGTACCCCCATCAGTTCTAAAAACTTTGAGGGAAACTCATAAAATTGAAAAGGAGAGTGACATTTTTGAAATCCTCGGAGAAATTGAGGGATCGAAACATTTTCCATTGACCATGTTAAACGATAATTTCTCTCCCTCACTCTCACCACATGAATCAATGAAAATCTGGGTATTTGACCCTGGAAAGATTTTCAAAGTGAAGAGTCGAGAAATTGAGCATTTCTATGGAAGTCCTAGGAGTGAACGTGTGAAGAAGATAAACTATCACGATCCAAGTTTGAATGACTGAACACAATGATAGTGTCGTATCACGACATCAAATGAGGCACTTCTTGGGAGGCAACCCATGCAAGGTATGTTTTCTCATCATTTCATTTCAGTTGAGTGTGTGTAAAAAAAAAATAGCTTGGGGATTGAACCCGGCCGGGTATAAAACTCAACCCGGTCGGGCCCCTTCATAAATCACAGCACCCGGCCGAATCACCCGGGTGAGGCAGTTGTGGAATAGAGGAAAAATGAACATACCCGATCGGGTAACTTCAATACACCCGGCCGGGCATGTTCATTAAAAACATTCTGGATAAGCGGGAGTTAGGCCCGACCGGGTCAACTTACCCCACCCGGCCGCGTCGTCGCGAATTCTTTCACAGACTCAGCTGGCCATCCTCTTCCTCACTTCCTCTTCTGCAAACACCAACCAAACTCCGCCAAAACACCATTTTCAAACTCCATACATTTGAATCCTCTCCATTTTTACACCAAATCCATTAAAAAAAACCATCCTCTTCATCTCCTCTTCACCCTCTACACACACCAAAACACCCACAACCCACCAAAAATCCAAATCACCCTACTCCACAAACAACAAACGCCAAAATCTCCTCAACCAAAAAGAAAGAAATGACACCAGAAAGGGGAAAGAGATTCATTCTCTTGGACATCTCGGACACAAGCACTAGGGACAGTGCTTTGATTAGCTTGGGGGGAGAATTTCATGGGAAACTCACATTCATACTCTATATTCTTGAGTAATTAAAAAAAACATAAAAAAAGAAAAAAAAAAGGCTTGTTAAGTTGAAAACCTGAAAAGGCAACTTAAGCCAAAATAAAGCAAAAATAAGAGTGAGTTGTGAGGATTGAAACAGAAAAATGTGGGAAGCTGGGATGAAAACCCGAAAGGGCACCTAGGCAAAATGAGAGAATGAGAGAAAATATTTTCTTTTATTTCTGCAGGATCCTAAGAGTAACAAAAAAAAAAGGTTGATAGGAAGTATGGAGTTGAAGACCCCTCTTTACTGTTATATATTTGGGGATATTTTTTGTTTTGTTCTAAAAACACACGTGGATGTTGGTGTTGATACTTTTGTCATTTTAAGGACTTCTTGGGCTGGATTTGGTTTACTCGAGACAAGTAAAGGTTCAAGTGTGGGGGTGTTTGATATGCACTAATTAGTAGTGCATAAATGTATCTTTTTATGTTTGATTTGTGTGGATTGTTTACCATTTTATTTAGTTTGTAAACATTTGTGTGATTTAGTTGTAATTGTATTTTAGTTCTCATTTGTAAGTTGTAAAGTAGAGTTAGGATTTATGGTGTTGGAAAGGAAGACTTTGAAGTGAAGAAAAATGATTATTGGCTGCCCAGGACAATCACCCGGTCGGGTGAGGTATTGCACCCGGTCGGGTGAGACATTGAAATGCGAAACTGCTCAGGAAATTACATCACCCGGTCGGGTGAGTTATTTCACCCGGTCGGGTCCGACTTGACCCGGAACACTTGAAAGTGCTGAAGATCACCAGAACGTGGAGGATATCTGATTTTGACCGGACCCGGTCGGGTAGGTACCTAACCCGGTCGGGTACCCGGCCCAAGGTGTTGAAAAACACCTATAAATAGCACACTTTTCCTTCACTATTTTCAACTCCTTCCATACTCTTAAGCTCAGTTTAGAATAGTATTTCTTTTATATTTTTATAGCACGTTTAGTCTCCAAATGAGGAGCTAAACTTCCATTTCTTGGTGTTGCTCTTGAAGCTTGTTGATTATTAAAGTTGTGAGTTATTTTCTTAACTTCTTCCCTTGAATATTAATTATTCTCTTAATCTATCTATATATTAATGTTGGGGAGTGTTGCTAAGATGACAATTAGTTAACATCTCGACATTAGTTATAGTAGTATTTATTTTCTTCCTCTATATATTAATGTTGGGGAGTGTTACTAAGATGACAATTAGATAACATCTTGACATTAGTTATAGTAGGATTATTCATATTTAATCTTCTTCCTTGAATATTAATTCTTCCCTTAATCTATCTCTATGTTAATGTTGGGGAGTGTTGCTAAGATGACAATTAGTTAACATCTCAACATTAATTACTACTAGAAACGTTCAACGAACCAATGGTTAATCGTTGATGGTTTCACAAGTAAGTAACTTCGGTTTATTAATGCACGGTCGTGGTCAATTGATAAGGTGTGAAAACACCTTATTTGTTATCCAAATTCTGAGTCATTGCGTGACAATTTTGCAGCATTCTAGCATGTTTTTCGTGTGGTTTTGGTTTGTTTTCGATTGCAGGACTAGAATAAAAGCTCCACTTGACTTTGAGGATATTTGGAGCAAATATGTGGGCAAAAGCAAGTTTTCAGACGAGTGTGAAGAGCATTGTGGATTCGGGGAAGAAGCTGGAGCTTAAAAGAGATCGAAAGAAGGAAACGGACGAGAGAGAAGTTTTGGACTGGGCTGAGCAAAGGAAGGGCATCACGGGATGAAAAGAAGAATTCTTTGGAGGCCAGGGAGGAGGAACGCCCATAGGAACGCCCATAGTAACGCCGTTCCACTCACCTTTCCTACGCTGCAGTTAATTCCGGAACTCCCAGGTGTGGGAACGCTGGCAGGGAACGTCGTTCCTCTCAGTGTTCCTGAAAGAACGACGTCCCTGCTCCGTTCCTCACGGCGTCGAACTCTCTGCCAGACGATTAAATTATTTTGTAAAGAAAGGAACACCCATGGGAACGACGTTCCTCCCGACGTTCCCCCGACTGCGGAAACATATAAAAACGCGAATTTTACCCTTTTTACGGATCTTTTGGCCAAATTTCGACTTTGAAGAGCTCAAGAACCCTGGTTAAGCTTGTAATCTCTTACTTTACTACTCTCTTTCACTCTTAATCATTGTTTTAGATTACAATTACATGAATTTACTCTTTAATCAATACAAATCTTAGTTCTTCTCAATTCTCTTGCAATTCCCTTTAGTTATTTAATCATGCATATGTTCTTATTCTTTGCAAATCTTTTGATTTCGTCTTCAATTATGTGTGAGTAGATTGTTTAGGGGTTGGGGGTGATCAAGGATCACCCCATCATGTGATCTTTGGGTTTAGATTCATTAGGGGAATCAATCAATATAATATGCATGCCAAGTGTTTGTGAAAATTCCTCAATGACTTTTTTCTCTTAATTGATGGCCACAATTTAGGTAGAAACTTGTTAGAACCCGCGAGGAGACTCGTAGGGTTTCTCTAGACACCTTCACACACACACACACACACACACACACTATCTCCTCGCCACGAGAGTGGGAAGAGATAGGGGTCACGTTAGTTGGTTATGCTAAATTGTTTAGCCTAGGAAAGTGATAGAGACATGGACTTTTGGGCTTAATATTGTAATAAAATGTAATAGTGGGCTGGGCCAAGTAATTAGATAGATTGAGGGAAGCCTCGTTTTGAAAAGAATAAATAGAAGAATAGAATAGGGTGAGGCTAGGCAGAAATTGGATAGACTTGGGAGAGGGGACTGCTCGAAGTGTCTCATTGGGAGAGGGGATTGTTCGAAGTGTCTCGATCTGTTTTTTTTCTCTTTCTTTTACTTCCGCGCCTGTAAAACTCAGATTACCGTCAATATACTACCTGTTTTACCATGTACCTAACATTGGTATCAGAGCAGTCGACCCAGGGAAACTTCAATCAACAGTCACGCGATAAAAAAATGGAGCACAAGGAACATCGACGAATGGAGCACAAGGAACATAGACGGTCAGATAGGAAGGTGGCCGCCTCTGCTTTGCGCGTGGACATAGAGAAGCGCGAGATGCGTGTGTCTCCGCAAAAGGGGAAGGAACCACATCAAAGATCCGATCATGGTGCTTCGCGCGGAAAAGAGAAGTCGTGGGAAAAGGTTGAAAGTGATTGGGCTAAGGAGATGCGACATATGTTGGGAAAAATTCGTCACCGGCTCAAGCGACATAGAGACAGAGCCCCCTAGACACCGTCGGCCGATTGAAAATAATCAGGTGTCTTCTTCAGTAGCTCTTCCTAGTTCGCAGACATCTTCGCAAGTCTCTTCTCAGTCGCTAGCCGCGTCTCATGTTTCTACTTCGTCATCGCTATCAGTTTCTTCCAGTGCGCACTCGCAAACTGCCTCTTCCAGTTTGCTGGCATCGAGGCTGAGTTCGCAGGTTTCTTCTGAATCGCTATCCGCATCTCACAGTGCGCTAGCTTCCTCGCCAGCAGAAGATCGTCCTTCGCAGACTTCTGTGCTCGCCTATCCTCACAGCTCGCAGACTTCGTCTCTATCCGTGGTTCTCAGTTCTCAGGATGAGTTGCAATCGGCTTCTCCCAGTACGCAAGTATCATCTCTAAGTACGCAGGTTCCTTCTCTATCCCGAGCAACTTTTTCCAGTTATCTGGCTCCATCGCCAACATATTCTCTAAGTTGGTGTCAAAGTACGAAACCATCGAGAGGAGTTTCAGTTGATTGCACTTCTGTTGAAGGAAATAAAGCTTTACTATCAATTGATGTTGATTCCGCCAGTATAAATCCAAATCTAGTGATTAATGGTTTTGAGATAAGAAGATTGTGTGGGGTAGCAAATGCCCTCGCCCGCATTGGACAGGTTTCCTGTGAAGATGAACTCACTTCAACAAATGGGCTAGACAGTATGTATAAACTGGCTATAGTGTTTTGGAATGTTATTGGAATTGTTAAAGGTTGTTTGGGAGGCAAATGGCAGGTTTGTGCTGAAGCACGGCATGCAGCTCTTGCATCCTCTACAGCATTATTTCGTTCTGCGAGTGATGCTCCAACATGTAGGGACCTGGTTATTTGTCATGGTTCACTCGCATCATTGCTAGGTCAGTTAAATGTGCCTGCAAAGAATTCTATGTTGAGAAAGGCTACAGGGACTTTGCTAAGCTTCTGTTACAGCCAGGTTGGCCAGTCACCCTCACCAATTGACCCGGTCAAAGCTACATTGCCAGTTGTTCAGCAATTGATCCATATGCAGGATGAAGAAGTTATGCCAGATTTTTGTCGAGCACTTTCACAGCTTTTAAATGTTGCATACTCGGGAGTCACCGGGCCACATATCAAGGACTTAATTACATCAATCACTAACTTATCTGAGCATATATCTCATGAAAGTATGCATCAAGTGCTTGGGATAATACAGGCTGCAGTCAGGGCAGACCCTCCTGCCAACCTTTATACTTTAACAGCTTTAGAGGCAATGAAAACTGCTCCTGATTACATCAAGCTTTTGGTTTCCCAAATTTTACTTTATAGTGGACAAATGCTGACACAACCACACAAGCAGCCTGAAGGGATAATCGTCCACAGTGATGAGGCTCAAAGGGAGATGCAAGATTTACTGGGATGGAGTGGAATTCCAAAGCTGAAAGATGTGAAGACTGAGACTTACATTCCTGAAGCTGGCTTTGCATTCTCAATTGGAGATTCTGTAAGAGATCAGACATGGGGCAGGGAAAGAGATAATAACCTTGGCCAAAAGGATCACACTGTTGACAAAGAGATTGAGTGGATACCAAAACGAAGAAAACTAGCTGAGCTCAAGTACTGGGAAGGCAGAGGAGCAAGGATAAAGCGTGGCTGTTTCTTACTCAGTTACTCCAAACCTTGAGGACAAGGTGGTTGTCAAAGGGGGGAGTGATGATAGAGACATGGACTTTTGGGCTTAATATTGTAATAAAATGTAATAGTGGGCTGGGCCAAGTAATTAGATAGATTGAGGGAAGCCTTGTTTTGAAAAGAATAAATAGAAGAATAGAATAGGGTGAGGCTAGGCAGAAATTAGATAGACTTGGGAGAGGGGACTGCTCGAAGTGTCTCATTGGGAGAGGGGACTGCTCGAAGTGTCTCGATCTGTTTTTTTTTCTCTTTCTTTTACTTCCGCACCTGCAAAACTCAGATTACCGTCAATATACTACCTGTTTTACCATGTACCTAACAGAAAGTCAATGGACCACGAGAGTGGCCGTTCAGTTCCCTTGGCAATCTCTTGGCCACGAGAGTGGCAAGAGAACTTTCACCAGACCCTCAAATGCATGTTTGTTGATTGATCTCCCCGATAATCATTTTTCCTAGTTGATTACATGATGGGTCCTTGAGACCCCCCGCTTCCCTTTTATTTGAGATTATTAATTTCTTTCGTTGCTTGCTATTTTTTCTAAAACCAAAACACTACTTGATCGATTAGCTTACATCTTGGACACTTAAGACGAATTCACACTTACTTTCCTTATACACCGTCCCGAGAGACGACATCCGGGACTTCCATATCCCAACACACACACACCCCTTGATACTCGTTTTCATAAAATGAGCCATCATTAATAAACTTAAGGGGGATTAATTTTGTTGGTTAAACCGAAACCATTGTGTTGAGGTTATCAATCTCAATTGATTTCATCAAGGAGTCACTACTAGATTTTGTGGTCTTTTGCAACGCTCGAAACTGTTACAATTAGTTTAAAAGTCCGTTACAATAAGTTATTAGTAACAGTTTTGACGTGTTACATTTGCCGCCGTTACCTTTGCTCTATTGTAACGGTTTGTAACAGTTTTAATATCAATTGTAACGGTTTTTCTTGATCTATTAAAAGTGTTACAATAAAAGTCAAACCATTACAATAAAGTACAAAAGTAACGGTTTCTAACTTCTACAAATGTAACACTTTTATAGCAAATGTGTAACGTTTTTTAGAATACGTAACGGTATCTAACTCTTACGGAGCTCATGTAAGAGCATCTCCAATAGGCGTATTGTTGACATTAAAAAATATGCCAAGTCATCCTTATTTAACATTCGGCCTAGAATTTGGTCTCCAACGCATGCTGTGTAGATGAATAAATTGCCGACGTGTTAAATTTTGATGTAGACACTGTAAACATCACTGTGCTATAATAACAGTGCCCTCTACATGCTAGGTCAGCCAATTTGGAGCAAATAATAATTATTCAACCGATAAAAAAACCTAACCGCCTAAAAAACATCATTGTCCCACACCCCACTCTCATTCCACCTCGCCTAAAATTCATCTCGAAGATATTTAATTTGGATTCATGACATTAACCATTGGAAATGTTTTTTGGATTTCAATGTCTTTCTACGTAAATGGAATATGAGGTGTATGACTATTCCATTTATTGATTGCCATGTGTCAAAATTTAATCAATGTTAAAGGTGTAGCATTAAAGATGCTCTAAGTAGCACTAATTTTATTATGACACATCGACACCCATCTTGTTAAAACCTACTACCGAAAAATAAGAATACAATTCAACAATTGATAAATTCATCATTAAAAATGAAATAGTGCATATACAAGTATTATATATAATGCCAATTCAATCGATTATACACATGTCACTATAAAATAGCTACAAAAAAATATTCGCAAATCCAAAATCTCTTCCATTTTTTAGAGGCATTCCATAGAGAAACTCATTCACCATTGGATTCCATTTCTTTTTCTTCATGTCTATCTTCTATCTGTAAATAGAAATTTCAACATATTAGCATTCATGTTTAAAATAAATAGGCAGACATTGGAAGGTAAATATATTTTTTTAAAACATAATACTACTTGGGCAAGTAATGAAGTAATACACTTTTCTTTTACATAGATTAAAATTAAAGTATAGTTACCAACCCCTGCAATTATGAAATGGAGCAATTTTGCATAAGAGTAAAACAATTGAAACAGTTAATTGAGCTTTACGTGGCTGTGCAAATTAGACATTGAAAATCATGTACAAAAAAACATAATACGTTGTATGTATAAGTTGACCACAGATTTCAAAAAAACATTTCAAAAAACATGGCTGACTCTATATCTGGGTGTCATATCTTCTCTGATCCAAAAAACCAAATAATTTATATATAGATACTTGTAATCTAAATATAAAAAAAACCAGCAACAAAATGAAAGCTTATCCAAATAGTAAATTGCTATTTCGAGCAAACAAAAAACAGATAAGATTTTAATAATGTCCACGATTGTCCTGCTCTCAAGGAAGACAGCAATACCCGTTTCTCACAGTATAATTTTCTAAAAGCAGCTTCAATAAATAAGAAGATAAAGGTTTTTTCAATAATGTTTTTCACAGTTAAAATCTTGAAGAATAGATCTCCTAATTTCAATAAGGCATTAGGCAGGTTTGTTTTTTTGCTTCCATATCATGTTCATGTTTTTAGGCAGGTGTGATTGAGATTGATTTAAGGGCGCAACGAGGACGTTGCGATCCTAAGTGGGGGTGATTGTAACACTTGAGATTTAATATAAACGGATTAATATTACTACTCATACCAACAAGATGCATCTCCTTTTAAGGGAGCTCATCACCAAGAACTCCAAAGTTAAGCATGCTTGCACGGGAGTAGTCCTGGGATGGGTGACCCCCTGAGAAGTTTCTCAGGGCGCGCACGAGTGAGGACAAAGTGCGCGGAAAAGGCTAGTGGCGGTTTGTGAGGACAGTACTAGAGGTCTGGAGTAACTACCTCGGGTCCTACGGGGCGGGGTGTTACAGTCAAAATCCACTAAATCTTCATTCTATACACTAAATCTTTATGTGTATAAACCCGTTACACTGAAAGTACATATATCCTTCAATCCACATAGATAATATTAAATACTTGATAATCATACTTTAGTGTCTTAGATTACACATGCCGATATTTATTGAATACCACTATAAATACATAGTTTCGTTTAATACACAAATATAGGCGTATTCACTGTAATAATTTACAGATATAACTCGGTATGTAAAGCCACCCAGTGAAATATTATCTTAGATTCCGATATATTTCTTATTGTTTATACATACTTTATTATTAATCGTCGAAGTTTGTAGTTATATATATACTTTGTGATAAATCATATCTCTATTAGACAATCCAAAATAATTTTCGGGTGATTGGCATAAATGTATTGGGTCATTCCCAATACATTATTTAAATATGTTATACACTTCTTAGAATGACATATGTACATTCTATAGTGGGTTCTTTAGTAATGCTCATGTAGATTCCGATACGACATAAATATGTGAAGACATAATACATATGTAAACTTTCGAGGACATTCCTAAATGTATATAAATCTAACGATATAGTTAATGTCATAATACTATAAATGCATTATAGTACACATACTATTTCTATGTGCAATGTCCAGTAGAATTAATATATGTATACATTTATTATCGTTGTCTATTAGGTATATTCCCAAAGATACTATGATAACTTATGTTCAATTGGGAAAATAAGTAACGGAAAATCTACTATATTTATTGATGAGTATCATAATTTTAAATGTAATGTGCTTGGAATATGCAATTTATAGTAATTGCAAATGTATGTTAAAATTTATAAATTTCTAGTAATTGCAAATGTATGTTAAAATTTATGATACAATTTATAATTTGTATACTCATTATATAGTGTATTTAAATCAACATTTGTAGGAAAATCCGACTGCATTTCAAGTCACTTTATTACAAATGTACATAATGGAAAACATGTATACATAACACTAAAACCTAGATTGGAACCGACATACTGTCGTAAATATCAACCTGTGATCAATGCAACCCATCTAGTCTTCAAAGAGAAAAGTATATTAAAGCACTAAACATTCTATATTTAGTGTTCACACTAAATATACTGTGGACCTATACTTATGTAATGTGTATAATTCATACACATTATTTGTTCCTATATTGCATTTTTCGTATGGACTCATAAATTTTAACATACATTTCCTTGATACCGAAAATTAATATAGTATAATGTGTTAATGCAATATAGTGGACTTAA